CCATGCTAGTCACTAGCGCCTCCAATGTTAACACCAGTTTATCCATGCTAGTCACTAGCGCCTCCAATGTTAACGCCAGTTTATCCATGCTAGTCACTAGCGCCTCCAATGTTAACACCAGTTTATCCATGCTAGTCACTAGCCTCTCCAATGTTAACGTCAGTTTATCCATGCTAGTCGCTAGCCTCTCCAATGTTAATGCCAGTTTATCCATGCTAGTCGCTAGCCTCTCCAATGTTAACAACAGTTTATCCATGCTAGTCGCTAGCCTCTCCAATGTTAACGCCATCTTATCCATGCTAGTCACTAGCGCCTCCAATGTTAACACCAGTTTATCCATGCTAGTCACTAGCGCCTCCAATGTTAACGCCAGTTTATCCATGCTAGTCACTAGCGCCTCCAATGTTAACACCAGTTTATCCATGCTAGTCACTAGCCTCTCCAATGTTAACGCCAGTTTGTCCATGCTAGTCACTAGCGCCTCCAATGTTAACACCAGTTTATCCATGCTAGTCACTAACCTCTCCAATGTTAACGGCAGTTTACCCATGCTAGTCGCTAGCCTCTCCAATGTTAACGCCAGCTTATCCATGCTAGTCACTAACCTCTCCAATGTTAACACCAGTTTATCCATGCTAGTCACTAACCTCTCCAATGTTAACGGCAGTTTACCCATGCTAGTCGCTAGCCTCTCCAATGTTAACGCCAGCTTATCCATGCTAGTCGCTAGCCTCTTTAATGTTAACGCCAGCTTATCCATGCTAGTCGCTAGCCTCTCCAATGTTAACCCCTGTTTGTCCATGCTAGTGACTAGACTCTTGATGCTAACGCAAATTAATAGTCTCGTTCTCATTTGCCAGTGCCWACCTGTCAGTTATCAGGGCCAGCTGCTCAGTTAGCGGTGCCGGCCTGTCATTAATCAGATCAATAGCTGGCTTAGGAATAGATTTAGCCTCCTGCTACTAGGATGTAGCAACCACTGGTTGCGCAATAGTCTTAATTTTGGCCCTCATACCACGCCATTCAAATTTCCAGAAACATAAGTTCCTTTCTCAATAGTTTGTGTGAATGCACAATTGTTTTAATTGTTTCAACAATGCTTCCGCACAGAAATAATATTTTCCCAAAACTGTATGTTAAAAAACTGGGTTTTGTTTTGATGTCTATTTTGCATGTGAGTTTATTTTGTGTACATCAGGTCAAACTTAAAGGGGAACCAGCAAATGTCCTATCCTGTGTCCTTGCAGACTTTGTCCTTGCTGTCATTGACACCATACTGTTTTGTGCACGTGTGTGTGTGTGTGTGTTGTCACAGGGATGCCAAGGCTTGCGTGGTGCACGGCTCGGACTTAAAGGACATGAGCTCCGAGTTCCTGGACGACCTGCTGAGGAACCACACCGAGATTGTTTTCGCTCGCACCTCTCCTCAGCAGAAGCTCATCATCGTGGAGGGCTGCCAGAGACAGGTCAGTGGTCAGAGTGTGTGTCTGTGTGTGTGTGTCTGTGTGTGTGTGTATGTGTGTGTGTGTGCATGTGGACGAGTGTGTGGCTGGACCCCCCTTTTTTTTTTTGAGGGTATTCAGCGGGATTTCTACGTGTCGGTTCATGTGGTTGAATTCAAGCATGCGTTTTTGTGATAAAGTCCTGGTGGAAGCTTGAATGTGTCTGTGTGTGGAAGTATGGTTGAATAAAAGTGTGTGTGTGTGAGAGGCCGRTGTGTGTCGCTGCCATTTACTGCTGAATGCAGCTTTCTGTGTGTGTTCGTTTGAGTGTTCTTTAGCTTTTTGTTAGTGCAGGTGGTTCAATGGGTGAATACACGGTTTTGTGCGTGTCGGTGCACTCATGTGTGACTCCAGTCAGAAGGGCCTGGATGTGAGCATACGTCTAAAAACAAGTGTGCTTCTGTAAAGTATATGATTAACTATATGTTAAGCCCTATATCACATAAAGGGAAATTCAGCATTTATGCACAGAAAGATCAAATTGGATACCTGGATTGCTCTTGCAGTGTATTGAGGTCATGCTACAATTCACCCTGACTCGTTCATTTTGACTCCATGTGGCTGAATGATTGCTACTCTATTCATTTTTTAAATTTAATCGCCCCAAAGCTGCTTTGAAAAGACGTTATTAAGACAGAGAGAGCAGGAAGTGATGATGTTTAAAAAAAACTCCTTAAATCACCATGCTTATCTTACTTTCCTGAGTTTTTTTTGTTTGCCGGCCCTCGCGGGCGCAGGGGGCGATCGTGGCGGTGACGGGGGACGGGGTGAACGACTCTCCGGCGCTGAAGAAAGCCGACATCGGCGTTGCCATGGGGATCGCCGGCTCCGATGTGTCCAAGCAGGCAGCTGACATGATCCTGCTGGATGACAACTTCGCCTCCATCGTTACCGGAGTGGAGGAGGGTGAGTGCTGGGCCGAGACAAAGTGACAGCGCAAGAGAGGAAAACAGTGGGGAGGGGGAGAAAAGGGAAACAGAGATGAAAAGAAAAGAATAAAAACGTCAGACATGATGTGAAATACTTTCGTAGCGAAGCCGTTTGTCACGCAGCGCTTTAGTTGTTTGGTGACACCAAGTTCTGGTTGATTTCCAGCATAATTTTTGTGAAATTAGACGTGAAACATTAAAGTCAGACTCACAAAACTAAAGGTGAAGACGTCTCAAATGATCTGAGTCAAAAACTAGAGAGACCAAGCAAAACAGGACTTGTTCTCAAAGTGGAACCATAATTTATTTAGGATTTTTATGCAGAAATTAGAAATGACTTGTAACAGAATGAATCAGTGACCAATGGGCCAATAAACGTTTCCTACAAGTTTTACATCACCCTACCTGGAAGTCATTTAGAAAAATAATTCAGTTATTTAAATAGATAAAATGTCTTAAAGACAAATATTCTGTTTGTGTGTGTGTGTGTGTGTGTGT